AGATTTGCAATGGAAATGAGTGTCTAACCATAAAATCGGTTGAGATATAATATTGGAGTACTTGTAAGTAGACTTTGAGTTAGTGGATTAGACTAGGTGAACCAGGTACCGGTTCCGTGGTTTTTCCCGAGTTATGTGTCCACATCAAGAAATTACTTATGTTGTGAATTTTTTTATTTCTTTATTTTGCATAACACACTTGCAGCAGCACACACACACATACTATGTGTTTGATTGAATGATATAGTTCGCAAACCCATTACTTAGTCACCTAGCGAAGCATAGCTTTGGTACTTCAGTAGCACGAGTTTTAGAGTGACTTCTTTCGTTTGGTAGGGCAACGAAAGGCTATTTTAATCTAGGAAACAACTAAAAACTTGAGAGGGTCACCTTTGGAAGCATTCTTGGGTAACCAAAGCGTAACAACATAATCAAAAGGAAGTATGAGGCAGAATGGAGAAAGGAAAAGGATAAGGGTGGTCTTGCTTGGCGTGAAGGTTGTTGGTTTGGGGTATTGAATGATTTTCTACCAAGGGACAAGGGTTTTTTTTTTTGAACAATTAGCATTGTGGTGGGATCGTAGTCTTGGTGAATTTGATTTCTACTTGATCAATTGAAAAATCTTTGCATCAGTTCACATGACAGGGTGTCCGGGTTGTTAAAAAAGGTTCACGTACTTAATTTGCATAATTAATTTGAGAATTGGTAATTGTACTAGTTTAGGTTTAAAATTTGTGATTGTCCAAGCATTAATTTTATAGACCTATTCAAGCCCCCAGGTTGTGTCTAGCAATTCTACGTGTATAATTGCGAAGGAAGCTTTACTTTGAATCTCTCCCCTACTCTTTCCAATTGGTATTAGAGTGTCATTGCCCCTGAGGATTGCATTTAGGCACTTGTAGGCGTATATTATATTTTCTTACTGAACTTAGTTGTTATTGATTTGAGAATTGTTGTGACTATCGGTTAGTCTCCGATGGATTCTCAAAGAGAAGGTGGATCGGTTACGAGACTACCACTCTTTGATGGTTCTAATTTTGCATATTAGAAGGCAAGAATGAGAGCTTTTCTAAAGTCGATCGATGAGCGAGTATAGTTGTCCAACAGTGACTACTACCGAGGGGACCGACACCGTGACCAAACCAAATGCTTAAGAACTTGGACCAAAATCGAGTATGACTCTGTGGGGTGGAACTCTAAAGGCTTGAATGAGATATTCAATGTCATCTCTCCAAAAGAGTTCCGAATGATCTCCAATTATGAGACATCCAAAGAGGCTTGTGACATTCTTGAATTCTCTCTTGAAGGTACACCCTTAGTGAAGATGTCCCAGTTTCCATGGTACACCTCCCACTTTGAGACTTTGAGGATGTAGGAGGATGAAAATTTTTGTGATTTTTTTGCCAAGCGTAGTGACACTGTCAATTCATCATTTGCTCGCGGTTTTAAGTATGAAGACTCCTCGATTAAATGGAAGATATTGAGATCTCTACAAAAGAGGTTTCAAGCAAAGGCAATAGCCTTAGAGACCGGAGTCAACTTGAATAAGGTGCTCGTTGAAGACATAATTAGGTTGATTTTAACTTTTGAGATGAATTGCCAACCACCCAAGAAGTTGAGAGGTGTTGCTTTGAGTTCAATTAGAGAAGAAGGAGATGAATCCAAGTCACCTCACTTGGGAAATGAGGACCTAGCCTGTTCTTGCAAAGAAGATCAAAAAAATATATTAAGGTTAGAGGTGTTGAGTACTCCAGGTTGAAGGGTAAGTCAAGTAGACATAGATATCTCAAGGAATGAAGAGAATACAAAGGGGGGAGAAAATTTCAGCAAAGGGCTGAAAAGTAGGGGCAATGACTTCAATGCTGTGAATGTCAAGAGTTTGGACACATGGCTGCCAAATGTCCTAGTAAGAAGAAGAAAGATTCGCCCAAAGAGAGGAGGAGAACAATGAAATCTAAGTGAAGCAGTAGTGATATGTCCTTGAAGGACAAGTTGAGCGTTCTAGAGAGTGAGTGTCATGGACTAGTAGAATCAAAGAAGGGTCTTCAGTTTAGGTTGATCAAACTTAATAGGGACCTCCAAGAGTCACAAGAACTCTAAAAAAAGACGTTTCCTAGGTTCTGAAAAGTTGGATAAAATGTTGTCTGTAGGGAAGAGTGTTGGTTACAAATGTGGTTGATGGTACACAAATGAGCACACCACCACCACTCCTAATACTGTGTTTGTGAAGAGTTAATAAGAACCCATCACCCCTCCCCCCCCACCCCCCGGGCAAGTGAACAATAGTCCCCCAAAGGCTAAATTTGGTAAGCGCAAAAACTTTAAAACACGATCACTATAGTACACATTGCATACATAATAGGGAAGTCATGAATAAGAAGCTCATACTCTTAGCTAATCAATCCAAGGTGTTGTGTTGAACCTTACCAAGCTTATGGGTAGATTGAGTGAATCTAAGCCTAGAGATTCTTCACCACCTAAAGGCTCACAAGTTAGGATGAACAAGACTACTTCTACTCCCAAGGTTAAAATTGACTTGGAAACTTTCAGAGGTAAGAGAATGAGTCCTCCATTCATTCTCCGTGCTAACCTAAGAAATTGGAAGGGAAAACAAGTGTGGGTGAGTAGTAAGGACTTTGAGATGCCCACCACTTTAACCAAATTGGAAGTCCCGAGGGATAAAAATGAGGTTGAGTCACCTAATACGTGAGCTGAGAGTGTGGACCTAGGTACATAGTCATGCATTGCAACATTTCTCCTATGATCATCATTGTAAATATTTTTCATTGTTTCTTAACTTTGCTTTTCCAATATGAAAAAACACAAAATAAATAAATAAAGAAAAATAAAGGGAAACTCCAAATAGATTTTTGATATCTAGTTGGACTTCCATTTGGGATTTATTAGGAAATGTTTTATTTTTCATTTGTTATTGCATGTTATGCACATTTTCTATTTTTAGGATATTTTTAAAAAATGCAAAAACATTATACAAGAAAAAATTGAAAAGATTTTATTGTTGTTGTTTTTCTATTGATAATCATGGTAATCACACTTTGGTATGTTTTGTAGTGTATCCATACTTAAATCAAAGTTGAAGTGCCTTGTTATGAGACATATTAGGGAATAGAAAACTTAGTGGTTATAAGTGTTAGTGCATAATTTTTAAACCAAGCCTCTTTTACCCTAGTGTGCTTAGATTGTCAGTTATCAAAGACGCAAACTTAAACACGTGTGAGTGAAATTGAACTAAGTGATAGAAACTTAATGTGTGATGCATGAAATTTGAATTCTACATTCATTAATATGCCCCAAGAGTAATGTGTGAGAATGATAAAATAAGGATGGATCTTCTATGTTTTGAACTGGTGTGATTGTCATTATTAATGACTGTGTGCATTTAATGTTTAATTTGGAAATTACATTACATTTAGATCATAATTTCATCAATGCATATGAATTTAGTTGCATTTTAGTTATGCATACATTCAGGCATGATTTTTGAGGCACAATGAGTTAAGTGGAGGAGTATTTGTTGAGTTGTAGTGGTCTGAAATTCTGGTTGTTGTGCAGAAAGGCTTCTGGTACTGCTCGATCCACCCTCACATCGCTCGAGCCGCCAGTGCAGAATGTCGAATCTGAGGACTTAAAATTTAGTTTTACTTCATTCTAACTCACATAACTCCATTCCACAATCAAGCCTAACCCTTTAACCTACCTCCTTCAAACTTCTCAGAGTGTGTTTATAGGTGGGTTTCATCTTTAGATCCTTGATATTTACTGGCCTTTGCACCTATTCACTGATTGGGTTGGGAAATACCTCAACCAACTCAAGTACGATTGTTTGGTGAGAGGAGTCACTTCCAGGACCCAAATTATAGCGATCAGTAAAGACAACAATACTAATCGAGGCTGGTAATGGTAGAAAGAGGAGTGAACTTCACTGGGTAAGTAAGGAATACTACTATTCTTTTGAATTTTGAGATAAAAGGGTGGGCACATCTCTTTGTGACCCAGGGCCAACGAATGAAAACATTGTTCAGGAGTTCTACACACACATTACGAACACGACTGCAAGTAATGAACATTTTACTGCATATGTCTATATGCATCATTGGGTAGCTGGGGTAGATCCAGAATGGTAGCAATCATATCAACAGAACTCTGTAATTTTATTTAAAGAAGTTATAATTTAATTTTATAAACTTAGAGCATTTTCAATATTTCTTTCTATTTTAAAGAACATCTCTATAAAAATAAAGAGCATATTTGATGAAAAATTAAAATAGAGTGAAATTTTTGCAACAACTCCAATAGAACTCTCTATTTTATTAGAAAGGGATTACCTCGCTTTACACCCTGAAAGATTTATAATTTTCTCATTTTATACTCCTAAAGTTTAAATTTCTCACGTTACACCTTCAATGTATTAAAATGTTTTAATGTGACATTTTTGTTAAATTCCATTGCTTATTCTATCAAAAATCCACTCTATTGATGTTTAACAGAATGAATAACAAAAAACTAACAAAAGGACCAAATTGAGATCAACAGGTCGGCGTCGGGTAGGGATTGGGGGAATATAATAAAACATGAATAGGTGGGGAGAGAGAGAGAGAGAGAGAGAGAGAGAGAACATTAAGAAATGCCACAGGACATAAAAAATACCTGAACTAAATTTATAATGATGAATGTATATACATAATCAAAAAATTCCAATTTTCTTTTCTATCCTATTTTGGGCTTAAACTTAATCAGGCCAACATCACTCTGACACTCATCACTGGAACTATCTTTCCCCATGGCCTCCAGAGAGAGAGAGAGAGAGAGAGAGAACTCCTAAATTGTCAAAATCTTGGCCTCCGACTTGAGAGATATACACTGTACATGGTGCAGCTCAGGTTCAAGTGCTAAGCTTCACTAAGAACTGGCTCAGGCGGTATTCTTAAGCATTGTAATTATCCAAAAATTTCCACGTGCACAGAATGTTCAGCAACGGTTTAGCCACTTAGTTTGCCTAAGAAGTTGCTCAAATTGTATTCTTCACTGTACTGTGATTGATCCCAAAGTTCTTCAAGGCCACCGAGGATGGCTTTTAACCCCTTTCCACGACCCGATAATTTTGGTTGCCCATCAAAGTTTTCATCAGAGATTTTCGATGTGTTAGCTCCCTGGAAAACAATTTTATAAAGGGGAAAAGGTTCAAACATAATAAATTTTGCCTTGATTATGTTAGTAAAAGTATAAGTAAAATAGTGCATTCAAAAAATCCGGCTTGTGAAACTGAAGTGAACAATACCTTTTTGCTTTCAGCCGACATAAATAGATCAAGCAACTGATCTGTATTCATTGTTTTCAGACTAGCATTTTCTGCATTAATGACAGCATTAGCAACTGACACTTTGAACTTCTGGAGGCTCATTACTTTCTCTTCCAGGGTTCCTCGCATTATGAGACGATGAACATTAACAACTTTTCGCTGACCTAATCTGTGCGCTCTGTCCATTGCCTGAAAATGTGTAACAAAGATAACAAATTCGTTGCAAGAGAATATAGAGGATAAAATCGCCATCCATTCATGCATTCCTCTAGGAAACAAACACAAAAACTACATGCTCTCAAGAAGCAAGTGAAGGTAATAAAATCTCATCCCGTGTGTACATTCATGTGCTTGTGCACATGCGTGTGGATGGATGCATGAGAGTCCAAACGAATTGACTATGCAATTAAGCAACAACTAGAAGCAATAGTCAATCAGGAGCAACTATTTCAGAGGGACTTCACTGTTTTTGTTGTTGTTGGGGTGTTTTTTTTTTTTTTTGGGTGGGGGGGGGGTTTGAGTGTTTGATAACTTAATTCAGCACTTAAGCCTGAAAGCATTCTGCAATTTTTCAATTAAGTGCGTCTGATAACCAAAACTCACACTACTTAAAATTTTAATCACATCTTAAAAATAAGATTAAAATACTAAGTAGCAAGTCACTTACTTTTCACTTAATGCTGAAATACTAGTAAGAAATTAAGAATATTATAAACTTCACATAATGGACAAGTTTATTCTCAAGTAATTTGATCTCAATCAATTTAACACTAATTTTCGAACACCCACCATCACCACTATCATCACTACTTGCCACCCCGCCACCACCTCCCCCATTGCCGCCAGCACCCACCATGACCATCGTTATTGTTGCCACCAGTACCACTGCTACCCTCCAACCATCACCCATCTTTGTCCCACCACCACCACTACTATTGATGCCCCACACCATCACCACCATTGTTGAACCATCCACATCACCACCACTATCGCAGCCGATGTCGCCACTATCATCACCACCACCATTACCGTTGCCACTGCCACCATCACGACTGTCGCTGCCGCCACCATTGGTACCACCACCACCTCTACTACTACAACCATGCCACCACCACCGTCGTCGTTGTTGTCATTACTATCAACACCACCACCATTGCCATCTTACCACTACCACCTTTACCTTTGCCCCCATATCTGCTACCCCCACCATCACCCACAATTAGTACTCACCCTGCCACCACCTCCTACCTTCACTCTTATCATCACCACCTACCCACCTCCGATATTGCCTTCAGCATGCTTATATACCATTTCACCACCCTACCGTTACCACCAACCAACTAACCACCATCACCAACACAACTATCATTTCTTCACGACCACCACCCCATCGCAACCACCATCACCAGCACCCTGTTCCACCGCTCACCCTCACCCTTACCCCACTACAATTATTGTCACCACCAGTCTGACTACTACTATCCACTCCAACCACCATGGTGGTAGTAACGATGGTTACATAGAGGTAGTAGGTTTTGGCAATAGTAGTGGGTGTAGTTGTGGTTGGGTGATAAAGGTGGTGGTATTGAGTGGTGGTGGGTTGGTTGTAGTCTTGGTGATGGTGAAAGGATGATGATGATGTCGATAGTATCAGAGTAGGCAACGATCGAAATGTCGTGTCAATTTGTCCGAAACGTTTCGGATTTTCAACACACCAAAACGAAACATGGCTTGAATCCTAAAATTCCAAAGTTTCGGTCAAAACGTCACTGTGTCGGACCGTTTCAGACAAAACAGTACCGTTTCGACGAAACATTCAATAGCACTCCAGGCCAAAGTCCTCCAAGCCCCAAAAAAGGGAAAAAAATAGAGATCAAAGGTCCAGGTCTTCCAAGCAAAAAAAAAAAACAGAGAGAAGAGAGAGAAAGACACACCTAGATGAAATTGAAGGAAAAGAGTTCAGTAACTTACCTCTTTGAGTCTAGATTTGAGCAGATCTAGCCCCTAGCCACGCAGATCTAAGACTTGGGACTTAGGTCTTCATCGTTACGAGCTGCGACCCACGAGCTACCAAGTATCTTCTTCATCTTTCTCTCTCTCACCGGCATCGGCACCGCCCATCGCCATCTTCATCTCCTTTCTCTCTTCTTTCTATCTGTGTTCGTGGGTGAGAAAGAGACACGACCGACTCTTTGAGAGTCTTCTGACTTTTGTATTTTTTTTTTGTTATAACTATAAAAAATTACATTTAATACCTCACTTCATTATAACTTTTAATTTTTAAGTATACATAAGTACCATTAATTTTAGTTAATACCCTTCATTATTTTTTTTCCGTTTTGTAAGTATTCTTTTATGTTATTATTATTTGTTAAAATGGTATATTAAATACCTACAAGTCATTTTATTAATTATACATTACTTTTAAATATCTAGAATTAAATATTTATGTGTGTATAAATTGTGTATACAATGATTTTAATATTAATGAAATAATATTATTTATTAATTTGAAGACGCAATTTAAATTAATAAATTAGTATTATAATAATATGCTACACAAATTAGTATTATAATAACATGTTGCACGAAGTGTTAATATTATTAATTACTAAATTAGTATTACAATAAAATATTATTATTAATTAAATAATATTTTAATTTAAAAGTGTTATACATGTCATATTTAAGTGATTTCCGCCTCACGTTAATCCTTTTTTTTCCCCTCCAGTTTAAATTTATTCCTATATAAATGGATGTTAACCAAATAAATATGTTGAATTAATCAATTATTAAACTTATATTTATAAATAAATGGATTGTATTTGTGTTTTCACATATTTTTATATTTTTTCTGTTTTTCCAAAATATTTATGTATTTGAGCTGACCGAAATGGTACTTCGAAACGATATTTCAATCCTTGAGTAGGTGACAACGAATGATGAGGCGGTGGTGTTAGAGGAGGCATCAAATAACAACCATGGTGGAATTATAGAAAAGGTGAAGGTGGAGTGGTGGTAGTGAAGATAGAGATGTGTGTATTTTCAACTAGCATTGGATCAAGAGTCACTATCAATAGTTGCAGAGCAACTAGCACTTTGCTACTGTTGCTACTTCGCCCCAACTACCGCTATCCTTGGAAAAGTAAAGAGCTACAGAAGGAAAGGGCTGCAGTCTCTCCCTTGGCCTTTGGAGAAGAGAGGGAAAAGAAGAAAATGTCCATCGCGCAAGTTTTTTGACTTCTTGCGCCCTAACTAATTTTGGGGCTCTTCAACCAAGGAGGCATTCTAGTAGGAAGCCAAGACGAAAGAGCGAAACAAGTCCCGCTTTGCTTTAAAGCATTGGGGAGAGGGAGAGAGAAACTCTCTTTAGCGGTTCGTAGGTGTCATATTTGATCTAGTAAGGGCAGTAATGAATAATAGTGATGGTGATTGTTGAAATAAAGTAGTTGCAATGAGATGATAAAAAAGAGGTATAAAATTAAAATAATAATAATTTTTGTAATTCAACTTCTTGTATTTGTCAAATAGATTGATTCAATTAAGTACTTAAATTTTAGTGAATACCAAAAAGTTTACGAATTAAAAATTCAACATTCGGCACTTAAATTTAACATTTAATTTTCAGTACTCAATTTGTAGTTTTATCAAACACCACTCAAGTCATATGATGAATGAAAAAACAACCCAAGCTTCCAAGGGACTAAGTTACTAGTGAACAAGCATGAAAAGACAAGGTGGTACAGTCCTTCTACATATTGCATTAGTGGCCTCTAACTCATGGAAAGTTAAAGCCAATAAATTCTAGTAATACTCAAAACTGACTAATTTTCAATGAGGTTGACTAGGACATTTGGTTGAAATAATCTTGTTTTCTTGATTGTGCTACACCAAAGGATAAGTAAGAACGAACGAATTCATGACAAAAAGTTGCTACCATGAATGAACAGGCCACAGACAACAAAGGTAAAATTAAAATCTATACACCTGATGATCCCGCATTGGATTCCAGTCATGTTCCATGAAAACAAGGGTGTCAGCTGATGTCAGGTTCAGACCAAGCCCACCAACTGCAAAAATGATTATAGATAAGCAAAACACCAGTCTCAGCATGTTTCTTTCTCAGTAAGCCAAATCTTTACAGTGCAAACAAAAGAATTTTACCATGTGTCGTAAGCAGAAGAACATCAATGGTCGGGTCAGAATTGAAGGCCTTCACAACTTCAAAACGCTTTTCTGATTCAACTGATCCATCCAGCCGCATGTATGTAACACTACATCGAAGCAAGCATAAAGTATTAGAACAAGTAAAGGTGTGAAATGACACTACCAAGACGTTCCGCACAAACTATTAGAACAAGTGAGGGTGTGAAATAACACTAAGACTTTCCAAACGTAAGGCAAATAAAAGGGCATCCATTAAACTTCTGATATCAGTTCTTGAATTATATTTCCCATTATGTCGCCCAAAACATGAATTTTTGCAAACTTAACAGAAATTCTTAGTAATTCAGGGAAATAGCTTCTTATTCCTAACTCCGATTGGGCAAACTATACTTTTGGTACCCCAAATATGCGGTTTGTACCAGTTTAGTCCCCATTCGTTTCAATATAACTTTGGTCCCTCAAGTTTCCATTTTAAGTCTAATTGTTCCATTCGGAAATAGCGATTAAAATCTCTAATAGAATTAGTCACATGCATTTCACTTGACTGATAACCCGGAAGTCTTCGCTTATGGACATCTAAGCCAAGACTCAAGCAAGGAAGTCCATGGATCATAAAAGCTGAATATTTATGTTAGAGTTCTTATTTTTTTATGTTTTATATTTATAAGCTAGTGTAGGGTAATCTTGTAATTATCCAAGATATTGTTTAATCTATTTCTATACTGCTTATAAAAGTGGCTTAGGATGAAAACTTTTATTTTCTTAATGTATTTTTAATAAACTCTACAATACCAATTTTATCATTCTTCAAAATGCACTGAATATATATAAGCATTCATTATACAGCTAGAACTTATTTCTTTCATATGTTAGAAAGCAAAAAAAACTCTATCGATTCTGCTGCTATGATTTCAATCTTCGGTCAGTTATGAACTCTTCCAGATTCTCCCTCCTTCTAGTTGCTCTCTTCTATACATATTTGATATGTCCCTCTTTTTATCATGGCGGTACCGATAGCGATAAACACGAGCACAAGAGATTTTGAAGGCAAATCCTAAGAACTCTCTAATGCTTAGAAATTATGAAAAATTCTTCTATGAGGTACACCCTTTGTTTTTATGATATATCGTGTGAACTTTTCTTTTTTATTAATTTATAGGAACTGTTCGATCTTCTGATAAAAACATCCTGTATATCGTGTTGCTTTCTTTGGGTTCTAATTTTTCTAAAGCTATTGCTTTCTTTTCTCTTTATAGTTTTTCTCCCTTCTTTTTGCGGCTTCCTATATTCTCTATTTTACAATTCTATGTAGCATGTTTTACAATTCACCATAATCTTCATGAGCAAATTTTAATGGATTGTGCTTCCATTCATTCATCGAATTTTGCCTGTAAATAGGGAACACTTCATCGATCCTATTTTCTGACACATTAAAGTGCATAGTTTTTTATCATCTCATATAAAAACTTCTGGATGGTAATCAGAGAAATATAGAGATTGGATCAATCCCAAAGCCTTTTCCACTTTTTCATGACCTTTTCACCATTTTCACATCCTCCTCCAAGGAGACTTGCTTGTAATGTGGTAATGTGTTGATTGATGAGTGCAACATTATGGTGATTGTGAGGCTGTAATTGTACATAAGCATATGTTTACGGATTTTAAGATACAGCTGATCTATTTTGTGTGTGTGCATGTGCATAAAACAATTATATGTAGTTAGAAATTCACAAAAGTTTAAGAAGATAATGGCATGTATATGTTTTCAGTTTTAAGCCTTTGAACTTTATGGTTATCTCTG